ATCATTTGCCGGCATGTACAACATTTTTAACTTATTTTTTATTTTGATAAGCAAATACATTACCTATTATTTAATTAGATACCGTCTGGAACGAGAAGATTAGTAAACTTTGAGTCAAAAAACCTATGAAAAACTCGGTGCCACACGTTTAGCTAGTGCACGAGCTCTTGAAATCGGCAGATGAACTTGTCAGAAAAATCGATTATTAAAAATGATCGATTACCGTCTGGGAAAGATATATTTCATTATATTATGAACTGTTTATAAAGTAAAAAACCCCGAAGAGGCATCGTGCGTGTAATAATCTTTTAGATATACTTCTAATCATGCTACCAATTCTGGCATTGAATAGCTGTCGCCTGGAAAGTGCATTTTCAAAATATTTGAGATAAAAAAAAAAACAAAACGCGTGACAAGGCCCCAGGCTTTTACCCACACGTTTTGATCATGTAAAAGGAAATGTGGCTGCATACATTTGCCACATATTACTTTTTGATATAGATTATCATTTTTGTATATAGCTTTGGTATTTTCCTAATATCAATAGTATAATGTCTAATTCAATTCTTTCTTTTGTAAATATTTCCTATTGTTATTATGTAAATATGCTTTCAAANTGTGGCTACACATATTTGCCACATATATTTTTGTTACGATATGATATCACTTATATATTTTTGATATTTGATATATTGATATTTTTCCCAACTCAATATTGTAACGTATAATTCAATTCTTTCTTTTGTAAATATTTCCTATTGTTATTATGTAAATATGCTTTCAAATGTATCTTCTCAAAACCTTTTGTATCTGTACCTTTCTATTATTCTCTCTACAAATTACTTTACTACTTGTACTTTCCACTAATCCCTTAACATTTTAATTTCGTTTACTAACAGCATGAGCTGTATAATTCTTATTACTTCTTAATTGCATTTTAATATTGGGTTTCTAGGTACATTGGGGCGAAATCTTTTTCTTAGTATTTCATCTAATCACTCTTTCCAAGTTTCATTCTCTTCTGATTCGATCCCTACTTTAGTTAAAATACTTTTAGCTCCACCCTTTTAATCTTCGTTAAAATTTATTTTCAAAACTACTAACACTTCCGATCTGTTGTTTAACTATTCCACTTCTTTCTTCAGTTATTATTAATTAACTTTATTACGTTTTCATTGTGTTTCTTTTTGTTTATTTTATTCTTGTAAAGTGCATTGTTACCACCACAAAACCTAAAGAAACAATGATTTTTGAATGATCGGTCGTTTTCATGCATTGTACGTTACTAACAGGTCAAAGCTAGACAAAGTTGAGAGCTCCTAGCCCTAAGCCCAAAGTCCTCACTTAAAAGGTTTTAGACCTTGAAGCCTCAATTACATTTTAAAATTTAAGGACTTTGAATTGCTAACTACTTCTAAAGCAATTAGATTCAAATCCCTATGTACTTTGAAAAAGATTGAAACCCTTTGAATTGCAAATCACAAAGCACTGATCATTTTCTTTCGAAAAAGAGATTTTTCATTATTTTATAAGAAATAGAAAAATTTAATTTTACGAATTAAGATTTTTATCCTTTCCAGTGAAACAAATTTTTTTTCTCTCCCGTCTATGTTGCTGGTGTATTTTTTTTATTAGTTTCGTTATATCCGTATGCAAGGGATGACCTTTTCATTAGAGAATTAGCCAGTAAACGGTTAACAAAATAAACCAAACCTCAGCTCAAATAACGTTAGGGTAAAAGTGGGATACAAGCCCCGGTTTTGAATACACTATATTAGGGATGTTGGTGACCTTAGAAGTGCCCTTCCCGCAGGCTTCAGTACCATGTAAGCTGTCGAAGTAGGGTATGCGTTTTGTCCGTGAGATCTTCCGCCGCGGAACTTTGACGGGCGTCAAAATTAATTGATAAGTACAGGTCTGACGAAGGAAGCTGGCGAGCGGTCGCGCAGGTACTTGTCCATTTATGACCTATTTGGGTAAGTCTCTTGGAACCGAAACACAAATAAGCTTTCAGTAGGCGTAAATTATAGTATTAATACAGATAGGACAGTAGCGTACTAGAAAATAATGAACAAACATGACTTATCAAAAAGAAAAAAAATAAACCTATTGTTTTTGTTTTATAGTTAGTTTTCACATTCACTCTCATCATGGGAATCTCTATCACTGTTACCAACATCAACAATTACTTCTTCTGTTTGTCTGTTTGTTACTTGTTCACTGATTCCTATTTTTAAATATTTAATCTACGCCCCTGATAGGAATACTGAAGAATGAGGGCTGTAATCTTAATACCTAAAACTGCCTACTTTTGTCATCGCACATCCACGCCATTTTAAAATTTCCGCCAGCTTCCAGCGTCAGGCCTGTAATTTCTACTGAATATTTTTATTACTGATTGGGGTTTAAGTCAATTTTTTGTTTATTTGTTTATATTAGAGTTTAAATAACATTGTTTANTCTTTTAGATATACTTCTAATCATGCTACCAATTTTGGCATTGAATAGCTGTCGCCTGGAAAGTGCATTTTCAAAATATTTGAGATAAAAAAAAAAACAAAACGCGTGACAAGGCCCCAGGCTTTTACCCACACGTTTTGATCATGTAAAAGGAAATGTGGCTGCATACATTTGCCACATATTACTTTTTGATATATATTATCATTTTTGTCATTTTATCATATTTAATCTACGCCCCTGATAGGAATACTGAAGAAAGAGGGCTGCAATCGTTATACCTAAAACTGCCTACTTTTGCCATCGCGCATCCACGCCATTTTAAAATTTCCGCCTGTAATTTCTACTGAATATTTTTATTACTGATTGGGGTTTAAGTGAACTTTTTGTTTATTTGTAGATAGTCGGATTTTTATAGTTTAAAACGTTAAAACTTATTACCATTTATCATCATCATCATCATCATAAGATCGCCAGTCCTAAGACTGGTTGGACACATACCTCACCATTTTCTGTCCCTAATATGCACCTCATCAATTTCAAATTAGAAAATCTTTGTCAAAAGAAGACTATTAGTTCCCATAAGATATTTTCGATTAGTTCCACAATCTTGATCAAAAGAGGCTTATCAGTTCCACATAATGTATCACTTCGAAATCAGGAAACCCTGGTCAGAAAAATGTTACTATTTTCCAATAAGATATTTTTGATCAGTTTAACAATAGGAAGTCCAGATCAAAAAGAATTATCCGTTCTGTATAGGGTATTTCTGATCAGTTCGAAATCAGTTCGACATCAGGCATTCCTGATTAGACTTTCAGTATTCAACTGGTTTACATAATTTACCTTATTGTCATCACCTATATCTCCAACTCGATTCTGATGATTTTGTTAAGAAAAATTATCCTAGTTGTCATAGTAAATTTACACGATAGTAACTATAAACGGAGACTGTGAAGATGGAAATAATAAAAACAAGAAGAGATTTACCCCAAATTCAATCACAACAATTTTGTAAAACGTGAACACGTTTTTCGCTCAATTACTTTTGTGACAGTCATGTGTTGAGAATGCGTTTCATAAAATTGTTGAGGTTGAATCTGGGGCAAGTCTCTTCTTGCTTTTATTACATGGTAGCTCAGTCAACGAGGCTTTTTTCTATCAAAAATGAACATTTCTGTTATGATGCAATTGTATTTTTGGTAAAATAATAAGAAAATACGACGATTTTGATTTTCGTTATTCATAGTCTGAGATGTTGGGGGCAACATTTCTTAATTTAACAATTAATAAAAAAAAAATACTTTTTGCGAAATATCTTCTTCCAGTGCATTTTTCGTCGTATGTATCTCACATGTTTTTTATTCCCCATATAATTGTCTAAAAAATGCCGCTGGTTGGAAGTCGCGAAGTGCTTTTGTTTGTTAATAAATCGTGTTTAAAATATAAAAAAAATTACATTGAATATCTCGGGAACAAAAGCACATAGAAGCATGAAATTTTCAGGAATTGTTTTAAAAAGATCGGTTATTAACTTAACGAATGATAATTCCTTAATTGTAAAATGTTTCGTAAATATTTCTTCCTACTGAAACCAAATCTGATAATTCAAAAAACTGTTTATATTTAATTTCCCGTTGGAATTATTGAGAAATGTAATAAAAACATGAAAATACACACCAAACCACAACAATTTTATAAAACGCATTTTTAATGCAAGGCTGTCACAAAAGTAATGAACAAAAAATGTGTCCATGAATTTGGGGTAAGTCTCTTCTTGCTTGTACTACATGGTACAGGTCTGACGAAGGAAGCTGGCGAGCGGTCGCGCAGGTAGTTGCCAATTTATGACCTATTTGGGTAAGTCTCTTGGAACCGAAACACAAATAAGCTTTCAGTAGGCGTAAATTATAGTATTAATACAGATAGGACAGTAGCGTACTAAAAAATAATGTAAAAATATGACTTATCAAAAAGAAAAAATAAACCTATTGCTTTTGTTTTATAGTTAGTTTTCACATTCACTGTCATCATAGGAATCTCTATCACTGTCACCAAAATCAACAATTAGTTCTTCTGTTTGTATGTCTATTACTTGCTCACTGATCCCTATTTTTAAATATTTAATCTACGCCCCTGATAGGAATACTGAAGAATGAGGGCTGCAATCTTTATACCTAAAACTGCCTACTTTTGATAACGCGTATCCACGCCATTTTAAAATTTCCGCCAGCTTCCAGCGTCAGGCCTCTAGCTAAGTTTATAAACACAGGTTTTACTTTTGGCAAATATAGAGGTGGGTAATGCCTTATGGCTCGTTTGTTAATATTTGAGAATATTAAAATTTGAAAAGTGACGCAATTAAGTTAACGAAACAGCCACGGTGTCCATTAGCTCCGATATTTTCCTCGCTAGTTAGCCGTAATACATTATCGGCGTATTTTGCATAATCGGGTTTTGTGAATAAATAATAATCCGTCACGAGCGTTGAGGGCACAATGTTGGAGTGAGAGTTCCGCGGTCATGATAAATTGTTATTTTACCCTTATAGGCTGGCCATCATGTGTTTGATGATAAGAACACCTATCCATCATCTTCAGCGACATCCAAGCTATTTGTTGAGCGTGCGTTTGCGAACCTTTGTGTAAACCGCCGGCCACACAATAGGCGTCGCCGATTGTTTCGACCTGAAAGTAAGTTTGAAAATTAGAATTGTTAGGTTAGATTTTGAATTACGGTTATCTGTATTTGTATAGGGTGTACAGAAACTATCGCCACGTAGTAAATACAAGTCTAAAAATTTTTTTTGACACATTACACGTTTTTTAAAAGGTATGGAAGAAAAAGAAGGCTTTTACATGGAAAATTATAATAAAAAGAACACTTAAAAAGTTACTACGTTTATTTTTCAGCTAAGCTCAGTGGATTGGCATGAGGTGTGAAGAAGTAGAGGTAGGTAAAACGAATGAGGCTTATAATATACATAATCAAAAGGAATTTTAGGGAAGTAGGGTACAATAGTAATAATATAAGAAAGGATGCAGGGGTCATTTTGATAGAAAATGAGGAAAATGCATAAGGGTAAAAACAATATTTAGAGAGCCTATATGTAGGCCAACAGTTAGGAGATATATTAGAGAAGGAAGATAGCATGGAGGTAAGTAAGGTAGGTAACCCTTAATGAGAGAATAGTTTGATGTAGCATTAAAAAATAATAAAGCACCATATAGATGGGACACAGGCGGAAATATTAAAAAAATGCAGGACAAGAGGTTAGAAATCGTATGTTTGGACTAGTTAATCACATAATTTACGAGAAGGGGAATGTCCGGAAGATTGTAAACCGAACATGGTAGTGGCCATACCAAAAAAGAGAGACGCGGATAAATGCCAGAGATTTAGAACAATTATTAGCCTAACTTTTCATGCGTCAAAAATCTTAACTACAAACGCACAGAGAAAAACGGAAAAAAGGGCGGAAGAACTATTAGAGAAAGACCAATTTGGGTTTAGAAGACATAATAGAACGCGGGAGGCCATTCTAGCTTTACGGGTAATAATAAAGAAAACGATAAGAAAAAGAAAAAGTGCGTATTTAGGATTCGCAGATTTAGAAAAAGCTTTTGACAAACTTAAATGGAACAAGATGTTAAATATACATAAAGATGGAGGGATGAGATAGATATATAATGAGTTATATACAGTTTGTATAAAGAGCAACAGGCAGTTATAGAGCTTGAGCAGAAATGGAAGTAAATATTAAGAATAGTCAGACAGGGATGCATACTGACACCGCTACTGTTTAATCTATACATCGAAGACGCGATCAACATCGTTAAAGACAGGAGACCTTTAGGAATAAATATACAGAGGCAAAAGATTAATAGGTTTACATTTGCGGATGATATAACAGTATTAGCATCTAGTAAGGAGGAGGTGGGAAAGAGCGAATATAAAGATAGGAGACGAAAAATTAGAAGAAGTGATTGTTTTTCGGTATTTAGGAAGTCAGATAACGGAAGGAACAGTAAAACAAAAAATTGCGTAGGGTCGAGCCTTCTTCAACAAAAGAAAAGTCACTGCTATGCTCATGAACGGTTAATTCAGAAGAAATTTGGAAAATATTGTTAAAGGTATATGTCTTGAGCGCCGCGCTGTTCGGGTGCGAAACATGGTTAGAAGCGTTCGAAAGATGGAGCTGTAGGTAGGGTTTATACAAAAACCGACATTTTAGAAAACCGGTTTTCCGAATAGTAATTTTTCCAGAAAACCGGTTTTAATCAGTTTCGAATTTTTATAAAAAAAATTTTTGCTCGAATATTCTGTAATTCGAACAAAAAATTTTAACAGAAAATTTAGAATGATTAAAAGCAGTTTTTGACTGAAATTATTTACTGTTCAATTTTATTGATAATAAATTTTTTTTATGCAATTTAGTAGAACAAAGAAATAA